ATCTGCAGATGACATCAAGCTGGCAGGAATAGCCAACACTCCAGAAGATAGGCTTAACATACAGATTGACAAATTTGAACATTGGATGCTATCTAAAAAATGAAATTCAGTGGTGAAAAAAGTAAGGTTCTACATTTAGGCAAGAAAAACAAAATGCACAGGTACAGTATATGTGGTACCTTGCTCAATAGTAATAACTGTGAGACGGATATGAGCCAGCAGTGTGCAGCAGCTGCCAAAAAACCAACACAGTTCTAGGCTGCATAAACAGAGAGATAGAATCAAGATCACGTGAAGAGTTAATACCATTTTATAAGGCCTTGGGAAGGCCACACTTGGAATACTGCATCCAGTTTTGGCCGCTGCGATGTAGAAAAGATGTGGAGACTCTAGAAAGAGTGCAGAGAAGAGCAACAAAGATGATTAGGGGACTGGAAGCTAAAACATATGAAGAACGGTTGCAGGAACCGTTTAGTTTAATTAAAAGAAGGACTAGGGAAGAAATGATAGCAATGTTCCAATATCTCAGGGGTGGCCACAAAGAAGAGGGATTCATGCTATTCTCCAAAGCACCTGAGGGTAGGACAAAAAGCAATGGATGGAAACTAATCAAGGAGAGAAGCAATCTAGAACTAAGGAGAAATTACCTGACAGTTAGAAGAATTCATCAGTGGAACAACTTGCCTCCAGAAGTTGTGAAAGCTCCAACAATGGAAGTTTTTAAGAATATATTGGATAATCATTTGTCTGAAGTGGTGTAGGGTTTCCTGCCTGAGCAGGGGGTTAGATTACAAGACCTCCAAGGTCCCTTCCAATTCTGTTATTCTCTTCTCTTCTATTCACTTATAAGAAGTGACATTGAAAAAAACATATTTTCACATTGCTCATAACTAAACAGGCTTATCTCTGGTATGGACTTTCTGGTGCATTTTTAATGTTGATTTGCAATGAAATGATTTCACACACTTGTAAGGCTACTCTCTTGTATGGACTCGGCTGTGACTTCTAAAGTGAGATGACCGAGAAAATGCTTTCCCACAGTCTAAACATTTGTAATGTTTTTCCCCTGTGTGAATTTTCACATGACTTGTAAGGGCTGATGAGGTACGATAAAATCTTCCACATTCACTGCACTGATATGGCTTCTCCCCTGTGTGGGTTTTATGGTGTCTCCAAAGTACTTGCTTATAAGCAAAAGATTTTCCACATTCTATGCATCTGTATAGCTTTTCTCCTGTGTGGAGCTTCTGATGGGTTCCAAGGTTTTGTCTTTGGGAGAAGCATTTCCCACACTCCTCACATTTGTAGGGTTTCTCACCTGTGTGGATTCTCTCATGAACCTGAAGCTCTATTCGTGTAACAAAACTTTTCCCACACTCCCCACATTTATACAGTTTCTCCTCTTTGTGCCTCTTCTGGTGTATCTGAAGTTGAGAAGAATACACAAATCGTTTCTCACATTCTGGGCATTCATAGGGTCTCTCTCCAGTGTGGAGTCTCTGATGCAACACCAAGGATGATTTGAAGGTAAAACTTTTCCCACATTCGAGGCACTTTTCATTTTTCTCCCCTGTGTGTATTTTCCAATGACTCTGGAGAGACGTACTCCGAGTGAAACATTTTCCACACTCAAAGCATTTGTAAGATTTTATCCCTGCATGAGTCTTCTTATGGATCCAAAGACTTGAGCTCTGAGGAAAGCTCTTCCCACATTCCCAACACTTGTAAGGTTTCTCCCCTGTGTGGATTCTCTCGTGGTTTCTGAGAGTGGGTTTTTCACGGAAAAATTTCCCACATTCCAGACACTGGTGAGGTTTCTCTCCAGTGTGGATTCTCTGATGTTTAAAAAGGTTTGAGTTTTGACTAAAGCATAAGCCACATTCCTCACATTTATAGGGTTTTAGTCCTGGGGGGATTTTGAGATCTTT